ATCTTCCTTCCGAGGAGTGGCTGGTGGGTTTGAACCGCCAGCCTTCTGGTTAGCAGTCAAGTGCCTTAGGCACTATGCTACCAGAGCTCCCCACTCATCCAATAGCACACTCTTTGTCCCTATTTTCCTGCTCAAGCCTCCACTCCACCCACTCAGATAAACCTCTGATCTCAGGGTTTACTGGAGGGGAACCCAAAATAAGTTAGTAAATGACAAGGATTAGGTAAATGCCTATTAGGGAGTGAACTATGTCCTCCAAAAATATGTGTCATAAATCCTAACCCCTATACCTGTGGTTAAGAGCTCTGGTGGCATAGTACCTAAGGCATTTGACTGCTAACCCACCAGTCACTCCTCAGAAGGAAGGTTGGGCAATCTACCATACTGATACCACCTTGGAAACCCAAGGAGGGGTCGCTATGAGTCAGATCTGACTCAATGGCAGTGAGTTTGGTTCTATTTTATGTATATATATATACCTGCTGTTATAATCCCACTTGGGAATGGATTTCGTATGTACCAAAGGGGCAGGGAGGCTGCATCTTCTGACCTCCTCTAACCCCACAAGAGGAAGACAGAATCACCCTCAATAGCCCAAGGCCTATTCCTATGAGGCCAAACATGCTACCTCTCTCCAGCCCTTTCATCAACCCTGACACCAGTCATTCCTCCCGCAGCACCCATTACCTTTCTGCTGGGTTCGATAATCCACTGCAGTGGCCACACACAACTCACAGATTATGGGGTTTATTAAAGAAGCACCAGGCTACAATTCAAGTTCAGGGACAACGCTCAGTCTCTCTCAGCCTGCCGTCTCTCAGCCAACAGTCTCTCTCAATCTCTCTCCCAGCAGTGCGTGTCTCTCGGTGTTTACTTCTCAGCAGCGCATGTCTCTCAGGAGCACATTTCTCTCAGCAGCACGTCTTTGGCAGCCAGCAGTCAGAGAGACCCCTGCCTCTAGGAGGGCTCCTTTTAAGCCTGGCAGAGTAGCCAAACTAACCAATCATAACAGAATTCTAAGCACCTGAGAGAGAGCGTACTTCCCAGGACATTGCTTTGTGCCACTCTCAGCAGAAATACCCCAGATGGGAAACTTTAACAATCAGGAGCTCCTCAGTAGTTCATGGCAAATTCCACCATGGAGTTTACAAAGACTTATGGCTAGAAAAGCCATACCAGGTAATTTACTACACAGCAGTATGTCATCTTAGGGAGCTCTGGTAGCATAGTGCCTAAGGCACTTGACTGCTAACCAGAAGGCTAGCAGTTAAAACCCACCAGCCACTTCGAGGAAGGAAGGTTGGGCAATCTACTTCCATAGTGATACTGCCTTGGAAACCCAAGGAGGGGTCTCTATGAGTCAGTCCCACTTGAGGGCACATAATAACAACAACAACGTGTTATCTTAATGTGGCAGGATTAGTGTAGGGTGTGTTTTAAGTTAATCTCTTTTGAGCTATAGAAGATCAGATTAAGCAAGCAGAGGTGGGGGAAGATAGATGCCACATCACATGAAGATCATCAGGGAACCAAGGAAGAGAAACTGAAGAGAGACAAGGACCTTCCCCCAGAGCCAACAGAGAAAGCCTTCCCTTAGAGTTGTTGTTGTTGTTGTTGTTTTGCCGTGGAGTCGGCCGACTCATAGCGACCCCTCCTTGGGTTTCCGAGGCAGTATCACTACGGAAGTAGGATTGCCCAACCTTCCTTCCCTTAGAGTTAGTGCCCTGAACTCACACTTCTAGTCAGCTAAATTGTGAGAAATAAATTTGTTTAAGTGACCCACTTGTGGTATCTGTTACAGCAGCATTAGATAACTAAGACACCTATGGAATAAACCACCATAAGAGGATGTTGATGCCTAGAAGAGAGAGATTGAGGGCCATGTATGTTGGACAGTGAGGTAGTGATACAGTCATGTTTAATGACTGACCAAGATTTTGAAAGAGTTAGAAAGATTCAGAACTGCTGTTAGGTGAGTCGGTGGGGATGAGCTAGCCCCCATTAGGGCAGAGGTCCAGCCAAGGCTGGTAAGTGGGGCTGCGCAGTGGGCTCGTGTTTATGTGGTTTGTTCAATAAGGCTTGTCAGCCAAGGAGTGAAAATGAGTGGTGGGTTTTACCCAGGAGTGGGCATATGTGTAACGCGGCATATATGTAAATATATGATGAAAGCAGTGGGTCTTCTCCCCTAAAAATGTTGAGAAGGATGATAATGTATACATTTGTAAGCTAAAGTGTACCACTGGGTTCTAGTTCTGAAGTATGTTCATTAATACTTTGTTGAAATCATGGCCCAAATGATGCCAGCTGGGGAAAAGGTGCTTGGGTTGGGAGGAGGCTAGAGGTAGATGGAGGGCCAGGTAGCTGTCCTGCCCTGGAAATTGAATCCAGCTTCAGTTGGCCACGGTCAGTGGGCCTGAGGATAGAGGTGGAAGGTCCAAAAAAGGCAGTGGACATAGGTGCGGTCACACTGTAGGGCCCAATGGGAATGAATATAGGGCAGGAGCCGCCTCAGTTGGACTGTGTCTGGGTGGTGTGCTGTGTCCCTCACAGGGTTTGGGGATGATCCCTGGGGAATAGGTGTCTGTGTAGTGCTATCTCTGGACAGCCCCTCCCCTACTTGGGCCCAGACAGTGAGTGCATGAGCTGCTGCTTGGGTCAGAGCATGGGTCAGCTGGTTCCTCTTGGTTGCCTCTGTGCCTCCTGGTGTCTGGTGCAGAAGACAAAGTGGATGAGGCCGCCTGTCCCATGAGTCTAAGGTGTAGCTCAGACTTTTGCTTTTGGGTTGTTTCTTTATGTCCAGGAGCTTAGGGGACATTATCTTTCTAGTGTGCAGCACCTTGACTCCTGCTCGTGTGATATACCTGGAGTGCGCATCGTCGAGTAGCTCAGAGGCCTTCCCTTCACAGACACACATGTCCATTGGTGGTGCTGATGCTGGCACAGGCATCGAGGTAGTCGTCTCATTACTCAGCACGGCTGGCTCCCTCCAGTCTTAGCCTCACAACATGACACTGTGTGGACAGTCTTTCCTGTCTCTGGTTGGATCACAGTGTAGTCATTCCAGAGCACTGTCTGTCAGGTCACCCTTCCATCTCAGATGCTCAGAACTTTTCTTTATCAGTTGGCTAAAATCTGGACAGCTCAGTCAGGCTTCATCCTCGGCGTAGTTTCCATTGGTGCCCAGCAGGAACTTCTTGTGCTCTCCACGTGATCTGTCCTCTCTCTATACCTTGCTCCTCAGATGTCCTCCATGTCCCACTCCCCCAACTGCTTCCCTACCTTCATGACCCCACTCAGCTCCTTCCCAGCCCACAATCCTGCCACTGGTAGCCCACTGCCTCTTGTTTTAGGGGTGCTCCGTGATATGTCTGTCACTGGGAGTTTTTCCTCACCTGTTACACATGTGGACACTTTTGTTACTTAAATGCCTGTTGTAAGCCCTTTAAGTGTAGACAGCAGATTCTTGGGAGAAAAGTGTGTGATATTCAATGAGGAGACCTGGGTTTGAGTCCTCACCCCACTCCGTTCTCCTCATAAGATTTCAGGCAGTCATAACCCTTGAGCCTCAGTGGAAGGAAGTGCTGTCTGTTCTCCTTGCTTCAGATGAAATGATGCTCTTCAATTGTCCATTACTAAAGTTTGTATTAATACTTAATCTCTGCATATGATGTTTTATACCATATTTCTTTTGCATACAATGCACCTTTGTAAACAATGCGCATAGCAGGCATAAGAAGCTAACACGTAAGGGGATTGCATGGCCTCCAAAAAACTCATTTAATGTGCACGTTATTTATTTAAAAACCAAAAATATGGTGCATGTTTGGGTGTATACGTGTGTGCGTGTGGTATATGTTGTGTGAGTGTGGTGAATGTGTGTGAGTGTGGTGAATGTGTGTGAGTGTGGTGTGTGAGTGTGGTAGATATTGTGTGATGGTGTGTTATGTGTGAGTGTGTGTGTACACATGCATCATCTCAATGCTGCAGCATGAATGTTGACCTTCCTCTTTTACAATGAGGAAACTGAAATCTAGAGAATTTAAAAACATTCCCATGGCCATACAGTCGAACTGGGTTTTAAAAGTGGCCTTTTGATTTTCCAAAACCATTGCCCTGTAAGTGGCAAAACCAGGATCTATGAGACAGGCTACACTCATTGGCAATGTATGGTTTATCGCAGAGGTTGGCAGACATTTCTGTAATAGGCTTTAGTTCAGGCTTATGGGTCAGATGGTTTTAGTCTCGGCTACTCACCTCTGCTGTTGTGGCATGAAAGCCGCCATAGACAATGCAGAAAGGAATGGTGTGCCTGTGATCCAGTGAAACTTTCATTTAGAAAAATTGGCCTGATTTGGCCTGGAGCCGTTCTTTGCCGTCTATTGGGAAAAGTGTTGGAAAGTGGCCCATAAATTGGGAAAGTGCTTTGCACAAGTCTTCGTTTTTGACGATTTATCCCTTTAGGTGCACATTGCTTTGCCCATAGTAGGTGCCCAGTAAATCCTTATTGACTCTAGACGCTTATTTCTCCCTCTAGTGCTGAGCTGACCTTTCTACTCCCCCGTCTTTCCTGCAGTATGTGGGTGCCCCGGTGGCGTATATCCAGCAGATATTTGTCAAGTCCTCGGTCTCACCCTGGCACAAGAACCTCCTGGCAGTAGATGTGTTCCGCTCACCTCTGTCCCGGGCATTCCAGCTGGTGGAGGAGATCCGGAACCATGTGCTGAGAGACAGGTACCCCTTCCTGGAACCCCAGGCTCCCTGAATCCCGTTCTGAACTGAAGTATAACTCCACTGAGCCAGCCAGCTCTGCAGAAATAGCTGGGTTTCCCCAGGACCTGCATTTGCATGAAAGGCATGGAAAGACCTAAGCTCCCTCTTCAGAGTTTCAGATACAGAGACCCCATTAAGCGCTAACTTGTGACTTAGATAGCTTCCTGCCTGTGGGTTATGGACGTGAATGTGACAGTGCTGAAGAGAAATGAGCTCTCCCTGGGCTATACTTCTGACGCCCCACCCAGGTCTTCCTCCTCAACTCATCTCTGGAGTATGTTGGCTTCACAGCTGTAGCACTGCCAGGGTTTATTTAACTGATGGCTTTACCAGGTATTTTTGTGAACTAAAGGGGTCTTCTAATTCTCACCCGGTCCCTTCTCCCCCACTAAATCAGCCAGAGTGTCCGAGTGGGTGGAGCTGTGCACATGCCCATAAAACCTGCACATGCCTCTCCCTGGAGGTAAATGGGCTTTTGGGCTCCAGATGCACATTGAAGGTCAGACAGCCACATGACTTGGTTGTTGGCTTTTGCCCTAATCTTCATGCTCTCTGGAGATGGGGCCATCTAGGAACCTGATGACAGAGACTGCCCTATGAATGCGGTGGGCCTGCCTCATGCTGGCAGACACAGCCAGTGCCTCCTCTTGTCTCCTGCACAGCTCTGGGACCAGGAGCCTGGAGGATGTGTGTCTGCAGGTGACTGACCTGCTGCCAAGCCTCAGGAAGCTCCGAAACGTGCTCCCTGAGCATGGATGCCTGCTGCTGTCCCCTGGGAACTTTTGGCAGAATGACCGAGAACACTTCCACGCTGATCCTGACATCATTGGGACCATCCACCAGCATGAGCCCAAAACCCTGCAGACCTCAGCCACGCTCAAAGGTACCCACAGCAGCTCTCTGAGGACAGTGGTATCTGGCAACGTCTCCTGCTTTGATGGGCCCTCTAGCAGATGCAGAGTTACCCCTTGTTTCCAGGATGGGGTGGGAGGGTGGGAGAGGGGTCAGAGCCCTCGAGAGCTCTGCATTGGCTGCTATGTTTCATCAGTTCCTGCTGGCCTCTTTGCTGTCTTTCCTGTCTGCAGACTTGCTGTTTGGGGTTCCTGGGAAGTACAGTGGGGTGAGCCTCTACACCAGGAAGAGGATGGTCTCATACACCATTACCCTGGTCTTCCAGCACTACCATGCCAAGTAAGACTGCCAGCACCTGGGTTCCTAACTGGCCTGTAGAGTGATGAGATGCTCTGAGGAGCCCCTGCTCCTGTTACAGTGCTCAGAAGGCCCTCTGGGAGCTCATAGGTTTCAGGCCTCCTGTTGGAAGTGCTTACCCCTTTTAGATTGAGGGGTGCTGTCTGCTCAGGTTTGAATGGGGATAAACTGATAGCTGGTTAAGAACAAGGGTCTTGGGCAGGGCTGGCAAACCCAGTGTCCTGCTGCCTCCACTGTCTGTCCTTGAACCTCAGACAAATGTCCCCAGCTGGCTGCTGCTGAGCCCCATGTGGCCTCAGAGTCCTTCTTAACAACACTGCAGAAAGCTTTCCAGTAATTGGCAGCGCTACTTGAGATGTCTCTACTTGGCCATCCTGAGCCTTTGACACCAACACTGGTGTAATGGGAGGGGAGGGGTAGGGGTGCTGGGAAAGGAGCAGAGACTCCTGAAACAACTTTGCCCATTTTGTATTTTTTTTGGTGAGGACCATGGAGTCCCCCTCCATGGGTAGGAGGAAGGATTGTCTGTTCTCTGGCCGGAAAGGAGTACTCTGCCCACTTTTACCTTCTCTGCTAGGTTCCTGGGCAGCCTGCGTGCCCGCCTGATGCTGCTGCACCCCAGCCCCAACTGCAGCCTCCGGGCAGAGAACCTGGTCCATGTGCACTTCAAGGAGGAGATTGGCATCGCTGAACTCATCCCCCTCGTGACCACCTACATCATCCTGTTTGCCTACATCTACTTCTCCACGCGTAGGTCCGCGGTGGGAGGCAGGGGCTTTCTTTGAGCCGATGGGCACTTCCAGATCACCCACTTCCCTGCCTCTGGAGGTACTGCAGGGCAGAAATGTGGAACATGCCTGGTTACAAAAGCCAGGACTTTGTCCTCCAGCAGGGTCTTGAGGGTACAGGGTGGGGTACAGGGCTCCTTTCACTTCTCAACCTTCCTGGGCTGAGGGGTTCCCAAGAGATACACCGTGTCCATGAGATTAGCCAGTGTCCGTGGCCACCCTTCCTTTTGTCTTATGTAGGAGCCATCCTTCCCTTGATTCTTAGGGCACCCCTGCTTCCCAGGAGCTCAGTTAAGAAGAGCCTGTGGGGACCAGCAGGAGAGGTGCTGCCCTGACGTGCCTTCTCTGCCCTTCAGGCAAGATCGACATGGTCAAGTCCAAATGGGGACTGGCCCTGGCTGCTGTGGTCACCGTGCTCAGCTCACTGCTCATGTCCGTGGGGCTCTGCACACTCTTTGGCCTGACTCCCACCCTCAACGGCGGGTAGGTCCCTGACAGGCTTCACTGGGCTGCAGGGTGGGCCCTCTGCTGTCATTCTGTGTCCTCACATTATTGTCTTTGACATTGAAGAAGTTAATTATTTCTTCTTTAGATTACCTACCTTGTAGATGTGTATGTGTATATGTATGTATATATGCACATACTTGTGTATATTTGTATGTGTTTATATAGGATGTGTATTCTTACATTGTTGTTGTTACGTGTCATCAAGTCAGCCCTGACTCATAACGACCCCTCTTTGGGTTTCTGAGGTGGTATCGCTACGGAAGTAGGATTGCCCAACCTTCCTTCCGAGGAGTGGCTGGTGGGTTTGAACTGCCAACCTTCCAGTTAGTAGTCAAGTGCCTTAGGCACCATGGTACCAGGTGTGTAAAAATGTGCCTCTGTAGTATATAGTATGTATTTGCATATGTGTATGCCTAAGCATACTTATGTTATACATGCTTCTTGATGGCTTAAGTCACAGATGGGTGTGAGATAGAGAAGGGAACATTCATTCCTTTCTTTAATATTAAAACATTTAAAAGCCTAATAAAGTAGAGCCTTTTTGAGTAAGCTTTTAAGAAGATACCAGCATCCTCTATTTGGCAGGTTCCTCACTGATGTTTGCATTCCCCTTGCTGTTTTTCTCTGGAAGCCCTGCCCTGGGTGGGTCTTTGGGTTTGTTTCCTCAGCTCTGGTGAGGACCTACCCAACTGTTAGTGGTTCACTGATCAGTTGGCCTCTCCCCCACCTTGGCTCCTCAGGCTGGTCACAGCAAGAGCCATTGTGTGGTTTGTTTCTGTTATTTGTCTTACTCGTGAACCACCTTCCTTTTGTGAACTTGACAGTGTTAAACACTGCTCCCCCCACCCCCACACCCTTCTGCTGGACCCTGCTCAGGTCCCTTACCTCCATGATCTTCACAGCAGAGACCCTGGCAGGTATACTCAGGGGGTGTTCCCTGTGCACTGACTTCTCTAATAGTGTGTTACCAGCAATGAGAGAAGGGGCCCTGGTGGCACAGTGGTTAAGCACAGAGAGATTGGTAGGTGGACCCACCGGTTGTGGGAGAGAAGACCTGATGATCTGCTCTGGTAGAGATTTACAGCCTCAGAAGCTCCACGGGATAGTTCTGTATCTTACAGGGTTGCTATGAGTCAGAATCAGCTTGGCAGCACACAGCAGCAGCAGCGCAAGGCTGTGACTTAGTGGGGTTTGGTTTAGGAACAGTTGCTCTCCCCCAGACTCAGCTTCTCAGCGAAGGTGAATAGGGCTTTAGTGTGGCTTCATCTCCCTTCCATTCAGTCGTGGTGGCTTGTCCTGTGGTGTTCCTGTGGGCTCTTGGCAGTGGTCATTCCCTTTGGCCAGCAGACTCCTGTGAGAGCAGGACCAAGACAGCTGTAATCTGGTCCTGGAGCAGTAGGACCCAGGGGCTGCCTCTGCTCTCCTCCCACTGTGTGGGCAGATGGAAGCAGGGATGGTTGCTGGGCTCCCTGGCCCACCTGCAGACCAACAACAGTGTGGACAGAGGCCCTGTTGAGTGAGGGAGGAGAGGGTGGGGTTTCTGCCCCATGTTTATGGGAGTCTTTAAGGCTTTACTAAACGCCGTACAACCAGCACCCTTCCAAGAGGCCCAAGCCTGCTGAGAACCAGCCCTGTGTTGGAGGTCTACTGCCCCACACCTTTCCCTCCCTTCCTTTCTTCTCAGCGAGATTTTCCCCTACCTTGTGGTGGTTATTGGGCTAGAGAACGTGTTGGTGCTCACCAAGTCAGTGGTCTCAACCCCAGTGGACCTCGAAGTGAAGCTGCGGATCGCCCAAGGTAAACCAGAAAGTGGGAGATGTCTTAGGGCAGGGCTGGCCATGCCCACAGTTCTGCTGCTGTTGTTCCCTGAGGAAATAGGAAGGCCCAGAAACATCACTGGTCTCTGGCCTCCAGCATAACATGCAGTGGCCCACCAGGCCCTCGCAATGTGCTTGCACACGCTCCGAGGAGCTGTGGGCTGTCTGGACTGTACTTTGTCCTGGTTCGTGTGTCAATAAGAGAGCAAACCATGTTCTCCTGCACGGCTTGTGTTTGGCAGCGGCTTTCCATCAGTGCTAGTGCCTAGTGTTGGCTCTTCCTGCCTCACTCCCCAACACTGGCCCACACAGGTCATTTGGAGATGCTTCCTCCAGAACTGTCAGAAAAGCCCCCTCAGGCCTCACTGGTAGGAATGTTGGGGTTCTGAGGAAAACAGGAAAAGAGAGAGCCACATCCTGGGGGCCTGGGCTCTTGAGCCTCCTCCTCCTGATACTGGATCTGTGAAAACAGGACTGGAAGCAGGCTGCTCGCTCACTCGACATCCCTCTGTGAGCTGCTTTGATGAGCCAGGCCCTGCACTAGATGTGGAGTTACAAAGACATGAGGGGAGATGGCCACCCAGGCTAGGAGTGCAGAGCCTTGCACATGTGACAATGTGATGACATGGGCTCCAGGGCCTTGGTGTGGGGAGGGGCTTTAGAAGAAGGACACAGCTAGCTCTTCCATTCTGCAAGCCGTTCTGCCACATGGCAGGAGGGCACGTACACAGGCTGTGTCCACATGGACCAGATGAGGACAGCATGTGGAGGTTGGGAGTGGTTAGAGTGGTGGTTGGTGGGTTGGCCCTCAGCCTTCCTCTTGGGCTTGCTCATGTCATCACCTTCCTTCTCCCATCTTCTGAGAGTCCTAGCTCTCCCCTGGCTCCTCCAAGCTTTGAAACTCCCTTCTTCCCTGCAGCAGCTGGGTGGCAGTGATGGCTGCACCTTGGAGCCAGGGCATTGGCAGGTCCTAAAGGTTGGGCACTTCGGTGAGATGGCCACACTAGTCTCTGAGTACTGCAAGGGGCTGTGTGCAGGCTCGTGGTGGAGGGAGGTGATGTGCTGGCCCCACAACCCCTCTTATCCTCTGTAGGCCTAAGCAGTGAGAGCTGGTCCATCATGAAGAACATGGCCACAGAGCTGGGCATCATCCTCATTGGCTACTTCACCCTAGTGCCTGCCATCCAGGTAAGACCCAAGGGCCATGTGGTTCCCTCCTGGACCAACTATGAGGTTCCCCAGCTGTGCAGCCACGGACAGGGTACGCCATCCTTTGGCACAAGCACCCTTGCCTGAGATGGGGCTTCTGCCTTATGAGACGGTTGTCAGGGGTACACAGAGGCTTCTGGCACACCTGATTCAGAAGTACTCAGTATGCCTGGCTGGGTTATGGGTTTTGAGCTTCTGGGCAGGCTTGGCCTTTGACCTCATCCTCTTACCCTTCCTGCCTGCTCTCCCATCAGCCAAGAGGCCAGCCTGGCTGCTGGAGCTCAAGTGCAAGGATGATAGAGTTCTGCAGGGGCTGGTGGCAGGCTCTGCAGCCAGAAATTCAGCTAGTTTCAGTCAGAACTCATTTCCCATTTCTCAGGCAGACATGAGGTGAGGCCCCAACCCTTTCCTCTTGTCTCTCTTACCCTGACCCATAGCTGCCTCCTCCAGATGCATGGCCCACCTTGTGGGAGACCATCACCCATTGCCCCAAGTGACACCTACTCTTGATAGAGCCCCTCAACTATGGGGCTCATGCAGAAGTAAAAGTGGACTTATACTAAATTGGGACCCCAGGCTGTGGCTGACCATGCCAGGGGGAGTGGGAAGAACAGGGTGGCACTCTTGTCTCCTCCCTTCCTTCCTCCAGACCTGCTGGGCTGAGGAGGTGGGATGAGTAGAGGGCAGAAGGGCTCCAGGCTTCATTACCAGAGGGCCTAGAGTGGGATCTGCAGGTCATATGCAGCCCTGAGGCATTAGAGCTGACAGGCCATTGAGGGACTGTTGAATAGAATTCATGGTGACATGCCAGAGGCCTCCAACAAGGTCAGGGAGGAAAATATAAATCAGAAAATCTCAAGTATCAGCAGAGCCTGGGTACCAGAGAGACCACCGTGTTTTACTTTTCGGGTAGCGGCAATCCCTTCTGCCTACTCTTTGTCCCTTCATATTCACTGGCCAGGAACATGTCTTAAGAGCCTAAAATTGGGTCAAGCCTCCCTGGATTTGGAAGATGTTGGCTGGTGGTGATAAGCAGGGCCCAGTGCTCAGTGGGGAGGACTTTTTGGGGAGCAGGCTGGTGGATCTCAGAGGTTTCCAAGTTGAATGAAGCTCCCTCCAGGGAAACCAGAGGATTCTGGGAGAGCTTACCCTTCAGGCCCCTATGTCCAGAAGTGGGGGGGTTCTCTGCTGCCCCCTGGTGGGGGTAGAGTGGGCCTCTGGCACTGTCCTTCATTTGCCACTCCCAGATTTGGGACTGCTACCAGCCTCTCATCTCTGCTGAGCCCTGCCCACCACTGCCTATGGTTTCTCGTTGTGAGGGCCTCACAGGCACGGAGCTGCTTCTCTGGGATTCTGGACCATGATGTTGTGGTGCTCCCTTGTCTCATTCTAGGAGTTCTGTCTCTTTGCCGTTGTGGGCCTGGTGTCTGACTTCTTCCTTCAGATGCTGTTTTTTACCACTGTCCTGTCCATTGACATTCGCCGGATGGAGGTAGGAGTGGCCTGAGTTCTGCCCTTGCTACCACCCAACTCAGCCCTGACTGTTCAGGAAACCTCTGAATGGGAAAAGCATGGAGCTTGGCAGGGCAGTGGCCACAATGTAGGCAGCTCTGAATGGCAGACCTAGGCCCTGATCATTGCTCCCTCAACAGCTAGCAGACCTGAACAAGCGGCTGCCCCCTGAGGCCTGCCTGCCTCCAGCAAAGCCAGTGGGGCGGCCAGCACGTCATGAACGGCAGCTTGCCATGCGGCCGTCCATGCCTCACACCATTACTCTGCAACCATCCTCCTTCCGAAACCTGCGGCTCCCCAAGAGGCTGCGTGTCGTCTACTTCCTGGCCCGCACCCGCCTGGCACAGCGCCTCATCATGGTACCTGCCACCCTGCCCCACACCTCACCCTCCTTCAGAGGCCCAGCAGTCAGGTTCCCCCATGAAGCTCACTTTTCCTTGGAGCAAGGGGTACTCTTTGCTCAGCCCCTGGTGGCCCCTTGAAGCCTGACTCTGGGAAGCTGACCACCACACCCTACCTGTCCAGGCCCTGTTGGTTTCTGAGGAAAAGGGCTTGTTTCTGGGAATTGCAGCCCCAGGGTCTTCAGGTAGAAGAGCTGTCATCTCCCCAGAGTGCCTGAGGCTGACCCACAGAAGGACCTGTTAGCTGGGGTGTTAGCACAGAGAGAACCAGCTCACAGCCACCACGTTCCCTGGGTCTGAGTTCAGCGGCTCCTCCCTAGTATGTGGGCATCAGAAAATGCCAGGTGAAATCATTCACCCACTGGGCTAGGTGGTGGGAGAGGGCCAAGAGTGCCTTTCCAGAGTTAGTGGAGAGGGTGAGGCAGGGGCCCTCCAAGGACTGGAGTCCCTGGGCCCCTCCAGAGCAGGTCAGGCAGATGGGCTCTCTAGCCATGCTGACAACAAGAATGGTAGCAGCTTTCCGGCCTCAGCTGGGGCCTGGCCAGGTGCAGGGAGGTCTAATAAACCTAGGAGTGCTCCAGCATATTTTCAGGCCAGAAGACCCAGTTCCTGACCATGGAAAGGCAACCAGGCCCTTCCAGTGGCCACTGGCCACCTGTGAGGAGAAGAGAGAATTCAAGGAACCAGAAAGAGAAGATAGATTGGGGCTTGCCCCCTCCCCCCACCCCTGTAGCCCGTGTGCTACCTTCTAGTCTGAGGGCCAAGGCTGCTAGGGGTTGGGGCTGCCTGTTCAACCCAGGGACCCCACTAAGTCCCTGACGCCCCACTGCAGGCCGGCACCGTCGTGTGGATCGGCATCCTGGTGTACACGGACCCAGCAGGGCTGCGCACATACCTCGCAGCCCAGGTGACAGAACAGAGCCCACTGGGGGACAGTGCCCTGGCTCCCATGCCCGTGCCCAGTGGCGTATTGCCCGCCAGCCACCCAGATCCTGCCTTCTCCATCTTCCCACCCGACACCCCTAAGCCAGCTGAGAATCAGACGTTGCCAGAGGAGCTGCCTGGGCCCATGGGCCCAGCAGAGGGTATCTATGACAGTCCAGTCCCGGAGGTAACCTGGGGGCCTGAGGACGAGGAACTCTGGAGGAAATTGTCCTTCCGCCACTGGCCAACACTCTTTAGCTACTACAACATCACACTGGCTAAGAGGTGAGTCAGACTGGGCCAGTTGCCATTACCACCTTACCGGTGCTGTCACCTCATAGTCCCGAATGTAACCCCTTTCTCCTCAGGTCACCAAGACCCGCTGGTTTGAATTCTGCATTTTCTTTCAAATAATTTAAAACAACTCATAAAGTTGTAAAGTTGAGAACTGGTATTCCAAGCAGGCTCAACTCCAGAGAGTGACCTGGGTCCACCCTCTGGGAGTCACAGGAAGCTGCCAGCTGCTTGGCCAGAAAGAGATCCACCCACTGGGCCACTCACTCTGCCAGAGAGCGAGCCCTCAGCCCCAGCTGTGAGGATGGCTGTTTGGGTGTTGATGTCAGTGATAGAGAATGGGATGCCAGAGCTGGGCCCCAGGGAGACCAAGGGGTGGTCTTTGAGTCCAACAGGTTGAGCTGAGTCCTTCATGGAAGGGGTGGGGAGGGCAGCAGCAGGAGGAACACTTCTGAGGTATCTCCTCTGAGGCCCACCTGTTCCTGTCCAAGGTACATCAGCCTACTGCCTGTCATCCCTGTCACCCTCCGCCTGAACCCAAGGGAGGCTCTGGAGGGGCGGCACCCGCAGGATGGCCGAAATGCCTGGCTGCCTCTGGGGCCAGGCTCTGTGCATGGTGGGCTCTGGGAGACCAGCCCCGAGGGACCAGGTGGGGTGCAGGCCCATGGAGACGTCACCCTGTACAAGTAAGGCTCACGAAGGGACTGGGGTGGGACTGGCAGGCAGCCATCAGGGCACCTCACCATCCCTCTCCACTGCGCCCAGGGTGGCAGCACTTGGCCTGGCTTCAGGTATTGTCCTCGTGCTGCTGCTGCTCTGCCTGTACCGCGTGCTCTGTCCGCGGAACTACGGGCAACCTGGTGGGCCTGGCCGCCGGAAGCGTGGGGAGCTTCCCTGCGACGACTACGGCTATGCGCCTCCTGAGACAGAGATTGTGCCCCTAGTTCTGCGTGGGCATCTCATGGTGAGTGCAGGGCAGCAGTGGGCAGTGGGGGGCCTGGGACCTGGGCCTGCACGTTACCGCACCCTCCCCTCCCACAGGACATTGAGTGTTTGGCCAGCGATGGCATGCTGCTGGTGAGCTGTTGCCTGGCGGGCCACGTCTGTGTGTGGGATGCACAGACTGGGGACTGTCTCACTCGAATCCCACGCCCTGGGTAGGTGCAGCCCCGTTCCTCTCTACCTTCCGCCTCCCCCCTCACCTCTCCTCTCCCCACCCCTCTGCCTCTCCATTATCCCTCCTCCCCCCAACTTCCTTACCCCTAACTTCTCCCCTACTTCTCCTCTCAACTTCCCCTCCCCACCTACCCTTCCTCACCCACCCACTTGCCCCTCTTCCTATGCTCCCACCCCACCTCAACCCTCCTCCGGGCCTCACCAGCAGGCAGCGCCAGGACAGTGGTGTTGGCAGCGTGTTTGAGGCTCAGGAGAGCTGGGAACGGCTGTCAGACGGCGGCGGGAAGGGTGGCCCGGAGGAGTCTGGGGACAGCCCTCCGCTGCAGCACTGCCCCCGGGGCCCTCTGCCACCTTCCCTCTTCGGAGACCAGCCAGACCTCACCTGCCTCATCGACACCAACTTCTCTGCACAGCCGCGGCCACAGCCCTCAGAGCCTCTCCAGCCTGAGCCCCGGCACCGGGCTGGCTGTGGACGAGCTCGAGATTCCCCAGGCTACGACTTCAGCCTCCTGGTGCAGCGGGTGTACCAAGAGAGGCTGGCTCCCGTCCACTCGCCAGCCCTTCGCCCACCCTCGCCCGGGCCTGCACTGCTCCCGACCCCTGAGGAGGAGGGGGGCTCATCTCCAGAGAAGGGCTCCCCTTCTCTCGTCTGGGCCCCCAGCGCAGACGGCTCCATCTGGAGCCTGGAGCTGCAGGGCAACCTCATCGTAGTGGGGCGGAGCAGTGGCCGGCTGGAGGTGGGCAGGGGGGCTGGAGGCGGGTAGGGGGGCTGGAGATGGGCAGGGGTGGGGCAAGAAGTGGTCAGGGGATGGTATGTGCAGGGGGCTACAGGCCTTCCCAGTGGGAGGGCAGGTGTTCACAGCCTCTGGCTTACAGGTGTGGGACGCCATTGAGGGGGTGCTACGCTGCAGCAGTGAGGAGGTCTCCTCGGGCATCACGGCCCTCGTCTTCCTTGATAAAAGGTGAGCGTGCCAGAGTGCCTGCCTCAGCGCCAGGCCACACTCCCTGACAGTGTTGGAATCCTGGCCGCACTCCATTGGGGTGTGACCCTGGGCACTGACTTCTCTGGGTGCCTAGCCCCACACCCAGAGGGATGACAGTTAAACAGGATAGTGGTGTAAAGTATTAGAATGCTTGAACCTTATTTACTGTGACACACGGAGTCAACACGGCTACCCTTCTTGCCCCTGAAGACTCTTTCCATACTCCCTCTCAGCCTTTCACTGCTAACCCTTATGGGGTTTGAAGCTGCATTTTCAGCTACAGAAAATACATTTTCAGAACATGTGCTCTCTTTGAACTTCTCTTCCCTTGGTTGCTAGAAGTTGTTTTCTCCTCTCCGTCCTGCTGTGGCTGTGTCACCCCTTCAGGGCTCCATCTGCACACACTTCCTAGGGACCTCAGCCACCAGGAACTCAGGCTCCACCCCTGGCCAGGTGCCTTCTGCTAACCATCTTCACCTGCCTGTTGGTGGCACTGCCGTCTAAGCTAGAGCTGGAACCTTCGTTTGGAGTGGATGTGCCCTTTGCCCTCAGTGCTGTCAGTTTCCAACCCCTGGCACTGCCTCCTCTCCCACCACACAGCCCTAGCAGCCAGCTCGCCCTCTCACCCAGCCTCACACATCTCAGCCCTTTGCATGTTTGCTGGGGGTCCTTCCCTGCTGCATACTTTTTGCTTCAAGGAAAGCCACTATGTATCAGTCTGACTCGCCAGGTTCCTGACTAGGATCTCTCTTACCCCCTCCCCCTTGGCTTCCCCAAGCCTGCTGTGGGCTCATGAAGGCAGAGGGCTACATACACATGCATTGCCTTTTGCTGGAGTCAGATTTTGAATCCCACTCACTTCTTCAAGGTCTCCAAGTCCTGCCTGTGCCTAGGGATTGTTGCTTGTAGATCTGCCTTTATGTGTGAATGTCCTCCAGAGACAGCAGCCCCTCTGTGGTGTATTACCTCATTTAATCCTCCCAACCACCCTATGAGGTGGCTTACTATTACCCCATTTTAGAGATGAAGAAACTGAAGCATAGGCTGGTCATCAGAATAGCAACCTGGCTTCTCTGCTCCACCATTGTTCCCTAGCACCTTGCGCTTCCTTCTGGGCTCCTCACATCCCCTCCCTGCACCTGACCGGTCATTTCTGTCCCTCTTGTGCCCACACGCCTAGCAGAACTGAGCCTGTCAAGGGTTTGGACTTGAAGCTGGGGAGTAAGGGAGAGAGGCCCTGGCAGCTACTCTTCTCTTTCAGGATCGTGGCTGCCCGGCTCAATGGCTCCCTCGATTTTTTCTCCTTGGAGACCCACACTGCCCTCAGCCCCCTGCAGTTCAGAGGTTAGAGGACAGGGTGTGCACATATCCACACCTAGTGAACAGTGTGTGGGGGATCCCTGCAAGGTGCTCTCAAAGGTCCCTTACTTGGCCTCCCGTCCCTAGGAACTGCAGGGCAGGGCAGTGCCCCCACATCTCCCTTGTACAGTAGCAGTGATGCAGTGGCTTGTCACCTGACCCACACAGTGCCCTGTGCACACCAGAAGCCAATCACAGCCCTGAAGGCTGCTGCCGGGCGCCTTGTGACTGGGAGCCAAGACCACACACTGAGAGTAAGTGCTGTCTTGGTATTGAGGCGGGGGGGGGGGGGGGGGGGGGGATGGGAACGATGGATGACACAGAAAGTGAAGAGAATATGGGGGGGGGTTAGTTTTTGGGGTCATCAGAAAGAAAGGCTAGAGATGTCCTGGCCAAGGCGTAATTTGGAAAATCCCAGAAAGACTGGACCCTGATGCCCACCTCTGTCGCAGGTGTTCCGTCTGGAGGACTCATGCTGCCTCTTCACCCTGCAGGGCCACTCAGGGGCCATCACCACCGTGTACATTGACCAGGTGAGGGACCTGCAGGGACTGTAGAAGGGTTGGAGGTAACCAAACCAGGCTTGTGGTTCTTGTCACTGACTCCTGGTAGCTGGCCCCTGAGATCCTTTCAGGAAGCAGAGGGAGAACCCTCATCCATCGATACCCTTGTTGGTAAGGTGGTATACTTCACCAGTTACCCAGTCCCCTGGTCCTGTTCCTCAGACCATGGTGCTGGCCAGTGGAGGACAAGATGGAGCCATCTGCCTTTGGGACGTGCTGACTGGCAGCCGGGTCAGCCACATGTTTGCTCACCGTGGGGATGTCACTTCCCTCACCTGTACCACCTCCTGCGTTATCAGCAGTGGCCTGGACGACCTCATTAGCATCTGGGACCGCAGCACAGGCATCAAGCTCTACTCTATTCAGCAGGTAAGCAGGTGAGGGCCCTAGGATTCTCACCACTGTTTTAGGGAGGACTCCAGACACTAAGTCTGTCATATCCTTGCCCCCAGGACCTGGGTTGTGGTGCAAGCTTGGGTGTCATCTCAGACAACCTGTTGGTGACCGGCGGCCAGGGCTGCGTCTCCTTTTGGGACCTAAACTATGGGGACCTGTTGCAGACAGTCTACCTGGGGAAGAACAGTGAGGCCCAGCCTGCCCGTCAGATCTTGGTGCTGGACAATGCTGCCATTGTCTGCAATTTTGGCAGCGAGCTCAGCCTGGTGTATGTGCCCTCTGTGCTGGAGAAGTTGGACTGAGGGCAGCAGCCACGTCCCCTGAGCACTCAATGCACTGGACTGAGACTGGAGGGAAGGAATGGAGTCTCTGTCCTGCCTCCAATAAATTTTTTTTTAAAATCACATCTGCCATGGGCCTGGTGAGGTACTTATTTCTTCCCAGAGAGAAGCTCCTGCCTCACTTACACACACCACACCCAAGCATGGAGTGGGATGTCTGCTCCAAGCTGGTTGAGGCAGGAACTGTCCATGAAGTGTGTGTACAGCTACAGGGAGAGCTGTGAGGGGCACAGAAATAGGGGCCTCTTCAACCATTTCAGAACTGAAAAAACAACTCTGGGCCTGGTGTCTGTCTAATACAAAATTTCACACAGCACCACTGGGGCCTATAGCACTAAATGGACTCAGCCACTGGCCACAGAACAGGTTGGTTTATTATTTCAATAGCAAAGAGCTGAAAAAAATGTCAGGTCCCACAGAGAAGCAGAACGTGGCCCAGGGCTCATAAAGCATCTCTATTCCCCAGAGGTACAGGCTGGCCAGACCAGGGCTAAAAGGCAGCAGGAATGTGGGGAGATCATCATGTCCACCCTGTGGGGGCCCTGCTGGATACAGGCAGGTGGGCATCAGAGATGATGTAGTGTAAAGACCAAGCAGGTCAAACCTGTTCAGGTCTTATTGAGCGTCCACAGTGGATCCAGAAGGCTGAGGGGGTCATCAGGAGGCCGGGCAGCCCGAAGACCCTGCCCATTATGGGCCTGCAGAAAGTTCTGCTTGCTCATCCGTTGCTTTCCCCGCAAGGAGCTGTCCAGGGAGAAGGCCTCGGGGGTGAGAGAGGCCAGCAGCTCCAAGGAGGAAGATGGGGGGCCTGGGCTGGGGGCTTCAGGCACTGGCAACTCTTCCTCAGGCTGGGGGGCCTCAGGCAAGGGTGAGGAGGGAAGGTGGGGTGGAGAGGAGGTAGGGAGCTGGGGTGATTCTGGGAGGCTGGCCAGAGGTAGGCCTGGGGGCTCCGCAGGACCTGGCAGACTGGCAGCCAGAGACTCCAAGCCTCCAGGAGGCCGGATGCTGAGCTTGGCAATGGTGGCCTGGATAGAGCTGATGGGCACATCCCCACCAAGGACCAGGTCCTGGGAGTCCTGAGGCAGGTGATTCTGGTAAGACAGAAACAGGTGACAGGGTGGGGCAGGCAGCTGTGGCTGGCTCAACAGCCCCCACAAGCTCTGTCCTCACCTTCTGGCTAATGCCCGTGCTGGCCAACGGCTTGCAAGGAGGGGGCACTCCATGGCGCTGCAGGACCTGCTCCACGTGTCTCACCATTGCCTCGTGGCAGAACCTCAGGTGCAGCTGCAGGGATGCATTCGGCAAGGTCAGCTGGACAAGGTGTGTCACCCCAGGGCAGAGGTTCCAACCAGGCCAGGCCCTCACCTTCTCCTGCAGCATGTGTTTCCTCTGTTGCCGCATGTGCCTCACTAGCTGAGGCAGCTCTGGGATCCCGTTCCCAGCCTCCACCTCCTGCACAGCTGCATAGAGCAGGGCAAAGGCCCCCGTGCGGCCCACACCAGAGCTGTAGCAGGAAGAGGGGGAGAGTAAGGCCATGCCAAGAGCCCACAGGGCCCTGAAGCAGCTGCCCACCGCCTCTTACCTGCAGTGCACAATGATAGGTGTGTGCAGAGGGCGCTGGTGCAGGTAATGGGCATGTACCTCCTGGATGAAGCGCAGCAGATTGCTGGGGTTGTCTGGCAGGCCTCTGCAGAGTGCGGTGGGGCAGGGCCAATGAGCCAGGCCCTGCCCTCCCTGCACCAGTAGTGTACAGCCCAACCCCACCCCCAACCACCATTCAGGAGGCAGACGCACAACTCAGGCCAGGTGGGGAAGTGCAGGTGCACAAGAGAGCGCTTGAGAGACTGGTCTCGGAACTGCAGGCTCAGCACACGTTCCACGTGGGTTTCCGTGGTGCGGACACTGCTCAGGGCCAGGCTCAGGGCCCCATGCACCATGGACTGGCCTCTCTCCGTGGGGAAGTAACGAGTCACTTTTTGCTGCAGGGAAGACAGGCAGGCAGCTAAAGGCTGGTTTACCAAGGTCTTCCCACCCACCGTGTCCTCAGGGCCACCCACCCAACCTCTCACCTTCTCCATCTCCGCCTCAGACACCAGCATGACAATGACAGACACTTTTTGCTCATGTACCATGAGCCAGAAATCAGCAGCCGTGCCAGGTAGTGGGGCCTGGGTGGCCACCAAGGGCGGGCAATACGGTGAGAGCCCCTCCACACGGCTGGCATTGATGTAGTCATCCTTGCCTGAGCGCAGCACCACCCGGTTGCTGTCGTATGGCATGACATCCTGGTGTCGGTTCTTCAGTGAATAGCAGCGGGCAATGGCAATGGAACGGCCACGGGCATCGTGTTCCTGCGCTTCTTGTAGCTCCCGCCAGACGGTGTCCAGAGCCCCTGCATCCCCCAGCTGGCCCCGAAAGGCCTCCAGCTCCTGCTGCAACTGTCGAAGCCTCTCAGGATGCTCATAGGGGTCCCGCTCTATCAACCGCAGGGCCTGGGGCCGACGACCCTCTGCTGCATCCACCTTGGTGGGCTGCAGCAGGGGCTGCCCACCCCCTGGAGACTGGGACCCCCCGTGCTGACTCTCAGGGCTGGAGGAGAGCAGATCTGCAGCTGCAGAGCCTCGGCGGAGGCATGGGGATGGCTCTGCTGCAGAGGGCCGAGGGGCTACCGGGCCAGGCCCTGGTGATGGGGCAGGTGAAGGCACTGGGTGAGGACTGGGGGCTGGCTGGCTGACAGGTGGGGGGCCTCGAATGGAGAGAAGGGCTGTCTGGGGACCCAGAGGCCTGGGGGAAGGGGCAGGGCCATATGCCAAGGTGGGATGGGGAGGCTGAGAAGGCCCAGGACTGGGGAAAGGCAGAGACCCTGACCTAGGGGGCAAAGGTTCTTGAGTGGGTCCTGAATAGAGCTGGGTATGCAGGGGGGTTGGCAGCTGCCCAAGGACAGTAGGCTGAGGGGCAAAGGGGAAGGGGGACTGTGGGGGAAGAGGCCCTGGGGCCTGGGGAGGGAAAAGGTGTGGATGCTGGAGTGGAAGGGGAGGCTGGGGCCCAAATGCTGCTTGTGAAGAATGGGGCTGGGGTCCAACCCTTGGGGCTGGAAAACCTGCAGGGATCCTGGGAGGAAAGTGGTGGGTGGCTGGGGGGACTGGGAGGGGTTGCTTGGGTCCCACAGGGAAGGTATAGGGTGTACCCAGGGGCTGCGGTGGGGGCACTGGGAAGCAGGGCTGGGTAGGAGGAGTAGGAGCAGGACTTGGCCTTGGTGCTGCATGGCTGGGAATTGGAGCCTGGATGCTATCTACTGTGGTGGTGGCTGGCCTGACCCCCATGGCCAACTCAGCTCCTGAGAAATGGGGAGGTGGGGCTGAGGGCAGACCTGTAACTGGTAGGGGTGGCCCCACCCCTCCGTACGGACTGCTCACCACACCATGTTGCGGGGAAGATTGGGGTACAAGAGCCAGCTCTGGAGTGTAGGCAGGGGTGGGATAAAGGGCAGGCCCAGGAGCCACGGCCATGACAGGACGCCCTGGGGCCTGTGGGGGCCTGGGCTGCAGCAGGGGGCTAGGGCCTGAGTAGATACCAGGGGGCAAAGGGCTTGGAAGATAGTGAGGTCCTGGGCCTGTAGAGCTGGGAAAGGGGTTGGGGGGAAAGTGGAGTGGGGTAGTTGTTCCCAGGAAGGTGTCAGGCACCCGTGAGCCAGCCACCATGTCAGGGGGAAGACTTCGCAGCTCCTCGGGCAGGTCTCCTGTCTCTAACACCTCACCATCCTCCCTACGGGGCAGCAATGGCTTTGGAGCCGTGGGCCTTGGTGGTGGCTTCTTCTTCAGCTCTCTGGGGGGCAGGGAAGGAATGGAGCCAGACCCCTGTCAGCCCAAGCCTGGACTGGACCCCCACCAACAGCCTGGGGGTGGTCACACTCACCTATCCAGGAGCTGTTGGCGGGCACCTTCGCGGGCCTGGCAGGTGGCCTGGGCCCGTTCCAGGAGAGCAGCCACCTTGCTCTCTAGGTCTGCATAGAAATCTTTGCCCTCCTGGGACTTCTTCATCAGGTCCTCATAGGCTTCATAGGAGGCCACCAAGGTCTGTAGTGTGGAGTTCCACCTGGCCGGGCAGAAGCACCAACAGGAGGTAAGCACCAAGAGCATGGGACTCAGGCAGAGGCACAGGGGACAGGCACTGACTTTTGGTCCAGTTCACTGAGCACCCGCCGCACAGCTGCATACTGCACATTGGCCTCAGTCAGTGCTCGGAGGACATTGTCCTGGGCAGCCAGGTTCTGCTCCAGATACACCCTCAGCTGGTCATACTTCTTCAGCTGCTCCTCAAACAGTTTCTGAGGGAGTTAGGGAAGGACACTCAAGGCCTCATCCCTTAAGGGTGGGGACTAGAGTCAGAGCCCCACCACTTACTCCCCACGACCTTCATCTCCGAGTGCTCTGTGGTGACCAGCGAGGCAGTGATGTCATCCTTCTGGATGAGCTCACGAAGCTGCTGCTCCAGGGACACCCGCTGGTCCCTCATCTCTTGCACTTTGGCCAGAATGCGCTTCAGGTTCTGCAGCACGGCCTTGTCCTCTGGGGACAGCAGGGGTCAGTGAGGCTGAAGAAAATCCCAGCTCCATGTCTCCCTGCGAGGAGTGGTGGCAGGACTCACCTGGGGTAAGGGCTGGTGTGGGTAGGGCAGCCCGGACCTGGTCCAGAGGCCCACTGAGCAGGCGCAGGTTACCGACATGCAGATTCATGGCACGGTGCAGCTCACTGTTGGTGAAGGAGGCCTTCTCATGGACCTCCATGTATTTGGCCCATTCTCGCCTCACCTCTGCCAGCTCAGCCTTAGGGGATGCTGGACTGGCCCCTGCCTGGCCCATGGCCTCCTGGAACTTCTGCTCTAGCAGTTCCTCCTCCTCCAGCAGCTCCCTGATGTCCTTCAGAGAGGCCTCCACATCCGTGAACACACCTGACAGCACTGGAGGGTGAAGGGAGGACAGCCCAAGGTAGGCAGACCTGAGCCCACTCGGACAGAAATGTCTCCTGTCAGGGGCTGTATACCACTCCAAAGCTTGCAGAGGTCATGCTCTAAGGAGGCAGCCAGAGCTCCCAGGAGGACAGACGTGTGGTTTCAGAATGCCACGCCAGTGACTTCCATGTTCCTCCGCCCCTCCAGCTGCTTGTTCTGGCCCTTGCTCACCTTGCATGGACTGGACAAGGTTCCTGACTGTGTCGGGCCGGACGCTGAGAGCTGCACACTTCTCCATGAGCTGGGGTGGGATGTGGCTGTATGTGTCAAGGTTATCCACTGTCTCAGGATCCAGCTGCATGGAATCCATGAACTGGCTGTGGAGGTAACAGGAGTGCACTGATCCCATCCTTCCTGCCAAGGTGAACCTCCCCACCCCTGAAACCAGGCCTGTGGTCTGCAGAGGGCACATCTCCATCCCCAACCCTCCTCTACCACCTGGTCTGGTCCCACAGAGAAAAATGAGACACAAGGGAAATGAGTTACCATCTTGGGAATAGCATATCCCAAATCCAGCCCATGGGCCCTGGGGGTGGGGAGCAGAGCTAGGAAATCCTTTGCACAAGCTGACAATTGACTACTGCTGGTGGGCACCCCCCACCCTGCACTTACTCCAGGACCTCATTCTTGTCCTCAATCTTGGCCATCATTTCCCGGAGCAGTTTGGCCTTTTCTTCACTGCAAGGGAAGCAACAGAACAGTTGCTGGAAGTCTATTGTCTCCAGTCACCCCAAACCCACCTGGGGCAGCCTCTCCCACCTGTACAGGGATGAGGCCTCATGGGCAGCCATAGGCACCAATTTGGCAAAGATGTCAGGGCCTGTGACAGCAGGGTCTGTGGGGTTAACTGGCAAAGGCTTCACCAAGGGGGCTCCTGAGGGAAAGAACTGTGGAATTAAGGCCCACACAGAGCCCTGGGCCTCTGTCCTAGCCCGCCACACACCCCCCCCCACATCCTCTCCTCAGCTCCCAGACCTTTTACAGGTTGAAGGGTGTCCAGTGCTGGGACTGCCTCATGGTAGATGAAGTCATTGTCCTTCTTGGCAGAATTGTACCTGGATAGGGGCGGTCCTAAGTCCTGGGGGTCCAAACTGACCCAGCCTCCCAAGAATGCAAGCAGGGGGATGAGACCATTCAGGACTATATTGAACCAGGGCTGCCCTCAAGCGCCCCACCCAAGACTCACTTTCCCCCAATGACATCCATAGTGAAGCGAAGTGCGTCTTGCACAGTGTCAGGCTGGCCCTGTTGAATAGGGATGGGGTAGGGCTTCAGCACCAACCATGTACCCTCAGGGCTTTGAAGGGACAGCCAGGCCTTCCTCAGTTTTACCTTGGCCAACTTGATGGCTTCATTGAGCTTGTCCAGGGCACTCTGGAAGTATGCAACCTGCAGGGGGCAGAGCCTGGTCCATTCTCCCCAGCTTGGACCCCAACTCCTTCCTGCCTCCCACCTAGCCCTGGCATCAGGTATCCCCTTAGAATACAAGAAGCTGAGGAGACAGCCAGGCACCAGCCCCTTTAGTGGCACCAAGACTAGCATCATACCCTGCTCCACTACAGCCATTCCCATGGTGGAGAGCCCACAATGGCTCCCCAGACTCCTGGGGAAGAGGGCTGCATGGATGAGACAGCACATGAACATGCAGCAGGGTGGTGGCCAGGGATTGCGGGGGTGGGGGGAAGACTTGACAGAAAACCACCTGGCCCATTTGTAAAGGAAGGACTGTACCAGGCTCTCACTAATAAGCCCACTGCTACCAGTCCTGTGTCCCCCCTCACCATGGCTCACTCACCCGCTCTCCAAACTTCTGCTGCTCCTCAGCCTGCTTCCCCATGTGCAACTGGAAAAGAAGAGGCATCATCACTACTTTTTCCCTTAGCTGTGGCAGTTCAGCCCAGGCATCCCAGTGGCACCCTCACATGAGCCACAGCCGCGAAGTAATAGATCTTCATCTGCACCAGCTTCTTCCAGTCCTTCTGGATCCGGCCCAGCAGTGAGGCAGTGTCAGGGTTCTCCAAGGCACGGCATGCTTCCTTGTAGTAATCTACAACCTGGAGACCCAGTCAGTAAGGGATGTAGAGTAAGCCAAAGGCCTGCCCTCAGTCCCTTGAGGGCCACCATCTATACCTGCCCCTACCTGGGCACTGATGCGGGCCACCAGAAAGCTCTTCCTATTGTCCAACATTGACTTCTCCAGGAGGCACTCTTGAGCCTGGCCCTAGGACAACAGATGCAGGTATAATCCTCATTCACCACTCATTTGTCCCCAGTAGATGGGTCACAAGGATGCATCCCCTCTGCTCCACCCTCCCTGCCTGTCCTCACCAGCATGAGGTTGACATTGAGAGTGAGGATCTGGCGGCTCATGTCAATGCTGTAGGCCTGAGGGAAGTGCTCCCGCAGGTAAGCAAAGGCGCCGGCTGCACACTGGAAGTGGGTGCAGGAGACCTTCATGCCCTAGGAAGAGGAGGAGAGGGAAGATGGCTTGAGGCAGAGCAAGACTGTTCCCCGTGTCATTCCCACAGCAGGAACCATTCAAATTCTGGAGGAGACCCCTCAGTGTCCCCTCTCCTCACCTCTTCAGACACCCGCTTGTCCATGGCCCCCAACATGGAGTGCAGTGCGCCTGGTGAGACAGGGTATGTGTCAGAACAAGCCTGTTGCCCCCCAGGCTGTCAGGCCTGAGGCAAAGGCGGGTAGGGTTGTTATCCCTGATCTGAAAAATCAGTAGTCTGGGAAGTGGGGCAGGAAGTCCAAGGACCCCAAAGTTGGCATAAATGAGGAAGCTCAGAAGTCAGCTCCTCAGTTTCCCACTCTACCCAGCAACAGCCTGGGGAATGCAGGGACTTCCCTCAGTACCCCCAGCCTAGGGGCCAAGTCCTGAAGCTTTAGGGATGCCCCCATCAGACCCTGGGGCTCTCCATGCTTCTTCCCTAACTAAGTTGAAGATGACCCATCAGGGGTGAGAGGAAGGGATGTTCAGGTAGCCTTGACCCCTCTGCGTGAAGCAGGCCAAAACCACAGAGTGATGGGGAGGGTCCAGCCAGAGCAGAACGGAGCCCCTTCTCTCCTGGGCAGCATGCAGTGGCCACACTCTGGCAGCCAGCCCAGGAGAGCCGTTTCCCATGGGCCCAGAAACTAGTGGAGGAGCTGGCAGAGCTCCATGGGCAAGGAAGCAGAGCGTTTCTTCTCCATCAGCATTTGTGGTTGCTGAGAGCATGGAGTCAGGAGCTCACCAAGATTGTAGAGGATACAGGCCTGCTCATACTTGATGTCCTCATGGGCCACAGACTTGCCTGAGAAGATCTCTGTCCTGCACAAGGCCATCTGGTCAGCTTCAGAGAAGGAGCGGGCCAGAGCCCAGGTGACAGGATGCAAGGTAAAGAGCATCCATTCCCCCTCCCCCTCCTGCTGGGTCTCACCAGGTCACAGGAACTGCAGCCTCTTGACCCAAGCTCATGGGAACCCGACTCTGCAGGTAGTGAAGCTGGCCCAGGTACTTGCGGAGGACACTGCAGCCCTCAAAGTCCCGTGGAACACGGACAGCGTTCTGGGGGTGGGATGAGAGAAGCAGGCCTATCATCACTTGGGGTAGACGTCAAGCAGCCAAGCCTCTCACAAGCACCAAGAAAGATGCATCAGACCTGGGAGACTGCACTGCTGTCTGGCTGTACCTGCAACCAGGCAGCAAGCTACAGTCTGGGAAGTAGGTTTTAATGTACTCAGTTATGGACCCATAGTTTTGTGTTAAGAAGCTCTGGTGGCATAGTGCCTAAGGCACTTGACTGCTAACCAGAAGGCTGGTGGTTCAAACCCACCAGCCACTCCTTGCAAGGAAGACTGGACAATCAATCTACTTCCGTAGTGATACCTCCTCAGACTCAAGGAGGGGTTGCTGTGAGTTGGAAACACTCAACAGCAGTGAGTTTGGTTGTTTTTGGTTGGTGGCGTAGTGCCTAAGGCACTTGACTGCTAACCAGAAGGTCAGTGGTTCAAACCCACCACCTGTTGCACGGAAGGAAGATGGGGCAATCTAAAGATTTACAGCCTTGGAAACCCAATAGGGGCTGCTATGAGTTGGAAACAACTCGATGTCAATGAGCTTTGTATTGGAGCTTAAATTCTAAAGCAGTAAGAGCCCTAACTCTTACTGAGTTTGAGACTCGACATAACTTTCAGATGCCATTTGGGTTCTTTCTGACCATAAATCAGCATTGTGGGCATGCACAGACAAGTTCCAGGACACACCCAGGGTGGGGCAGTTGGCCTTCAGGAGGAGTATGGTTAAAAGTAGACAATGATCTCACAAAGAACTAGGAAACTTGTTTGAGAGTGTCCTTTTCTAATTTAAATTAAGGTTGGGGTCTTGGTACTGTTTGATAGCCACCAGTGGCTAAGTCTCAGACTGTGTGGATGATCTTGAGTCAGCCTATCTGGACCAGAACCATCCTGTAACCTTTTTCTATCTTCCGTTATGTATCTTTGCCGATCGTCTTTTCCATGCTTGTAACAGTGACAAATCTATATATAATTAGCCACATGCCATGACTCAACCGACTCCATTCAGCTTTTTCAGGCTGATGGTTTCCCTCATCCAGGATGATGTCTTTTGTTTTGTCTTGCTTAATAAATGTGTCTATTGAACCTGTTTGAATCTGGAGTCTCTAAAAATCGAGAAATAAAAATGCTGAGATGTGCATGCAAAGATACTAACAGGGTCAAAAAGCAGACCCCAACATTTCCATAAGAGAATTGTTTATGTAGAGCTCTACATACAAGAAAATACTCTGCAGCCATGAAAACTGAAGACAAGGATCTCTGTTTAGTGATATGATGTCCACGACATGCAGAAGCAAAAAAAGTATGTAACAGATGAATAGTATGATTTAATTTATGTAAAATCATATACTGATATCCAAATAGGTATACAGGTGGAAAGAAACATACCTAGAAGGCTGAATACCCAAAAATTAATTGAAATTTGACTGAGTTCTCATATTTAAGTTTCAATTTTTATAATTTTATAAGCAGCAAAGCTATTTTCACTATAGAGGGGACAACCCTTACAAATGGTAAAAAGACAATATACCCTCTGAGAAGCAGGTACACAACGTGGGGACAGACACCCACACCAGCAGAGAGGCTGGCCGGCCTAGATACAGCCTTCAGGATGCTCTACTCCATCCAGAGTACAGATGCAAGCTGCCGACTTGGGAAGCTCCCAAAGACCTGCAGGCCATCAGGACATGAGCACAGCGGAGTCTGGCACTGGGCCCGCTCTACACCACCTCCCTGCAGTGTCTCGGGAAGATCCTGGGCACAGACAGCTTGGATATTGCCAAGTGTGGTAAGACCTAAGAGTTAACTGAAAAATTGGCCCTGCTAGCCAGGGACTGCATAGAGGACTGCACTGGTGGCTGGGGAACAAAAGGGAAAGCAGTGAAGAGGATGGCAGGCTGAGCTGTGGACTTTTATGTCTGTCCAGAGGGTGCAGCCATTTTGAATGTTTACAAGCAGCTTGACTATTTTGGATATTTAAAGAGACAGCATTCTCCCAGATTCCAGGTACTTAAGAACAGGCTACACTTGCCAGTAACCCCAAGGACATTCTGGACCCAGACCACTGGAAAGGTGTGACATTTCCCTTGGTGAACAGAGGTGTGGCCATCCCTCACTCCCACCTACCTTCTGGGCCCCCAGGAACTCCACCCCTGTCTGAGTGCTCAGACAGAGAGCCTGGATGCCCTGCTGTACCCTTGCCCCATGTTTCTCCTCCCACCCCCATTTTTTAGTTTGCTTGTTTTTGTCTGTTTTAAAACTACTATTATTATTACTTTTGTCCCTTTTACTATTATTCTTTATTCTTCCTCTCCTAGGTTCTAGTTTTCAGCTTTTTTCTTTTCCCTTTTCCTGGTTGCAATTTTTTGTTCCTTCTTTCTCATAGTTAACCCCGTTCTTTGTTTTTCTTTTTGTGTTTTTCCCTTTTTTTTTTTCCTTCTTTACTCTCTTTCTCCACCTTTTTGCTCTTATTGCCCTCGCCCCAGATACTTCTGGGTTTTTGTTTGTTTGTTTTCCTTCTTTTTCCCTTTTTTCTTTTTTTTAAATTACTTTTCCAGTGTGATTCCACAGTGTATTTTTGTCCATTTCCTTTAACTTTTTTGATGGTTATTCAATTGTTATTTTTGTCTAACTGAGTGGAAGACAGCAACAGTCCCCATATGACACAACTTCACCCACAATTCCTGCACCTTCACTTACTGAGTGACAGCCACCACTTCCCTCTCCACCAACAGGCCAATGATACACAACCACCAAGAAGAGCCTGACTCACCCTTGGCTGCTCTTCACAAACAGTTAACAGATCTACCTACAATAACGCCACGATGCCTCGGAGACAACTGACCATCACTGTCCACACAAAGAAGCAAGATAAAGTGGTAGAAACAAGGGCTCAGGATACAGACCCAGAATGCATCCCTGAGGAAGCAGCAGCATTGGAACTCTCTGATAAGGAATTCAAAAGAATTATCTTTAGGTATCTTCAAAGGATTGAGAGACAGACCAAAGAAAACACAGAAAA